TCCTGGTGCAGGTTTCGCAGTTTGAGACGGTTAATGCCAGCCCAGGACAAGTGAGCCCTGTGGTGTGACAGCCCTGGGGACTGCGAGCCCTTTGCCCTACTGGGGTGCCAGCCCCAGGTTGGAGAGTAATGTGTGTAATTGGGAACTAGAGGCTCTGGCCTCCAGCTCTCGGCAGGACCTGGCTTGCTGGAAAGGGACTGTCACTGTCACTGTCACTGTCCTCCCATTGTTCGTTGGTTTGCTCGAGTGGGCCCAGTAACGTCTCCATTGTGACACTTGTTACTGTGTTTGGTATATCGAATACATCATGGGTAGCTTGCCAGGCTTTGCCGTGTGGGTGGGATACTCTCGGTAGCTTACCAGGCTCTCCAAGAGAGGTGAAGAAATTGAACCTGGGTTGGTCCGGTGGGCCATGTGCAAAGCAAACGCCCTATCCACTGTGCTATTGCTCCAACCTGCAGGAAGGGGACAGGAGGGTTTAAATGCCCCGGCCTACCCCCCTAAGCTTACCCCAGGGAACTCTCAGTCCTCTCTAGGAGTGATCCAAGGGTCTGGCTTTTGGGGGCAAAGGCATCCCGAGGTCAGCCTGACAAGGAGTGGTCAGTGGGTCAAACGAGTACCTTTTTCTCTGCCCTTGGGGAAAAGTTTCCTGGCCTCCCTTCCCCCATGGACTCTCGCCCCTTCTTATCCGTGAAGTGGGCTCCCATGGGTGGTTCATGTGAAGAGAAGAGAGATGGTCACTTTCTCCTGATCCACCTCTTCCACGCCCAGACTGGCTGGAAAGGCTAGGATGGATAAAATCTGCAACGAACCCCTGCACAGCCCGGGTCAGATCCCCACCCGCCCCACCAGGTAGCCACTAAGCCACACCCGACAGACTCTTGGTCCCAGGCACTGGAGTTAATCTCCACCAACCTATTTCTCAGGGGGCCCTGGGCTCAGGCTGTAGTGAGGAATTGCTTTTTGCTGGAAATAAAAGTCACTCCTAGGCCTTTCCCAGGCCTTCTGGGACCTCATCCTATCTCACAGAAAGGAATTTCAGGAGGAGACAAGGAATGAAGTAAAAAACAGAATTTATTTGGAGGTTTTGAGGAGGGGGAAGGAGGGAAAGAAAGGTGGGAGTAACGTGCTCAAGAGAGAACGCAGGCTTCTCCAAAGACAGAGAGAGCCCCAGTTACACATCTCAAGAGGGGAGATGTGGGTGACACATACACTCGGCTACCACATGTGCTCGACCACACGGGCTTAAGCAGCACATGGACTCGGGCAGCATATGTACGCCCTTCCTTTGTTCGAGGTGACTTTTATAGGGTTTTCCCCAAACCTCTACCTAAGTGAGAGTCCATTGCTAGGGTGACTGTCAAGGGGGGTAGAGTTGGGAGTGGTTGATGGTCTTCTTGGATATTCCTTTCCTGGCTGTTGTTCCTGCTGGACCTTCTCTTGGAGTTGGGGAGTGAAGACGGGGGTCCAGCCTTCTCTGGGTCTATTGGCACCAGGTGAAAGTCTTATCGGCCTTAGTTCCTGAGCTCACAAGGTGGGTCCTGACGGTCTTAGGGCCGGGTGGTACTACTTGCCATTGGGGGCCCTTCCTGTCTGCCTGCCTACCTCAACCCCATGCATGAGACAGAGAAACTGGTGTGAAGAATGTGGACTTCCGGGGCCTGTCAGGGAGTGACCCTGCCACTCCTTGCACTCTCTTACCTGAGGTTTGTGTCTCCACAGACCCCCTCCAACCCCATTTCAGCCCCCCCCAGCTCCCCTCCAGCCTCCCTTCTAGTCCTCCCCAGCCCTCCCCCAGCCCCCTCCAGTCCCTTGTCCATCTGTCTCCTCAGTGCCCTTTTTCTGAGTGTTCTATTCTCCCTATACACCCCTCACCTCTCCTAAGGCCGCTCTGGAAACCCCCCTTGTAGATTTTTCTCCAAAGTCAGTTGGGAAATTCCCCTATTTGTTGGCTCTCCCCTGCAGAGGCTGGCCCTCCCCATAGACACCCAGTGCACTTAGGAAAGGCCCTTCCCAGCTCTTGCCTTTCTCCTTCTGTCTCTTGCCATCTCTCACGAGCATCTTCAAACTGGATTTTCATCCATCCCCGAATGCTATTGGCTGTGTCTCCAAAACATCTGCTAAATGCTCTTCTCCATGCTTACCTGACAGCTCTGTCCCGTACAACCCGTGCTGAGCTTTGTTTACCCCTGACACTTGACCTTTAAGTGGACCTTCAGCTCATTCTCCATAGAACAAACAGTCTGAACTGGGTCAACTGCAAATCCAATTATTTCCAGAAATTGAACCCAGGGCCTCTGGACACAGGTAAGCCTGTCTCTGGACCCAGTTCTCCAGCCCCAAGAAGTGATGAACTTTTATTTTTGTTTTGGGGCCATACTTGGCAGTGTTCAAATGAGATTGGGAGCATTCAGGGGTGGTTTGACCGTTGACCCGGTGGTGCTCAGGTCTTACTCCTGACTCTGCACTCAGAAATTTCTCCTGGTAGTGCTCAGGTATGCCAGGGATAGAACCTGGGTTGGCAATGTGCAAGGCAAACACCCTACCCAACGTACTATCTCTTTGATCCCAGAGACGAACTTTTAATAATTGTTATGGGACCCTCAAGATAAAACAGCACATGTTATGCTTTGCTTGCTTGCTACTGACCCAGGTTCGATTCCTGGGACCCCAAATAATCATCCCTTGAGACCCCCTCCCCAGAAGTGACCTCTGAGAGTGGACAGTGGAGCCAGAAATAAACCCCGAGCATAGCCAGGTGTGGCCCCCAAATAAAAAGAAATTAATAATTTTAAAAATAGTCATAATTGTACTGAAGAAATAGTACAGCTGGTAAGGCCTTGCATGAAGCTTACCCTTGTTTAAATCTCACCCACTTCCCCGCCCCCCCAGCACTGCCAGGAATGATCTATGATCATAGAGCCAGTAATAAGCCCTGAGCACTGCCAATTGTCTGCCCCTCCCCCCTAAACAAAATAATAGTCCTAATTATCTCTAGTCAAGAGTTCCAGGAACTTTTACACACATTATTTCTAGTCCTTTCATAAGTGAGGATTATCCTCCTCATTGTACACATGATGAAAGCAAAACTAAGTAACTTGGTCCAGATCAAGACATCTTAGAGGGTTGGCTGGAACCCAGACCTGTAACTCACAATAGCTGAAACATGGCACCGAAATGCCCACGGCCATGAAAGTGGTTAAAGATGCTGTGGTCCATATACTCAATGAAACAACTCTGTTATTAAAAAAGATAAAATCATGCCCTTTGGGAACAAAATGGATGGAAGTTGAAGTGGTTATGCTAAGTGAGGCAGGTCAGGAAGTGAGAGGCAACTGCCAGATGGTTTCACGTAAAGGTGGGAAATGAATCACTAAAGCCAGCAAACTGGCACAAAACCACAAAATGCACTTCCTGGTGTTGGAGAGTGAGTTCAGGGGGCAAGGCACTTCCATGCTGCAGCCCGTAGTTTGAATCCGTGGCACTACAAATGGTCCCCCATTCACTGCCAGGGGTGATCACTGAGCAGAGAGTCAGAAGTAAACCCCGAGTACCCAAGGATATGTATGACCCAACCCTGCTAAAAAAGAAAAGGGTAAAATTCAAAATGTTATAAAAAGAGATCTTTATGGAACTGCTCTTTGAAACGACAGCAGAGGACAACATATTTTTTCACATTTGATTTTTTTTTTATTAAACTTTAAGAATTAATTTGTTCATTAGTCACAGAATGAGCCCCAATGACTCTCCAGATTAGAGTGCCTCTCTGGATGGTCCAACGAGCAGATGTGTGCAGGGTTTTGATGGGTAATAATGATGTACCTGCTTAATGGCCCTGGACGTGGAGGGCAGGGGGATGGGGGTGACGCTGTCGAGAGAAGTAAGAGGCAGGTGTGTTTAAAGATCTCACCCAAGTTAAAGATTAACCAGGAAAGACCTGTTTTCTTTCCCACCCTCCCAGGAACCTCTTTGCTGGACTAGTGCATTTATGTTTGCTCCTGGGAAGGAACTGAGTGACAGGAATTTGGCTGAAAGAACGGTTTGTGGAGCACACACACTCCCAAGCGGGAGCATAGCAGGGAGGGTATGCGGTAAAGAGGGAAAAATCCAGGCAATACCACTGGGAAGTGACAGAGGACCTTCCTATCCTCAGGACCCCCTAAATTAGGCCTAAAACAGTAGGGTAGGCGGTGAGACTCTGTGTCCCAGGGGGACTGTAGGCTGAAATACGGTGTTGGCTCAGGTGAACGCAGAGACTGTGAACTCAATGGGCCTTCAGGCAGAGAACCCAGGGGAAAGAAAGGCCATTCTTGGACTGGAGCAATAGCACAGTGAGGAGGGTGTTTGCCTTGCGTGTGGCCAACCCAGGTTCGATTCCCAGCATCCCATATGGTCACCGCCAGGAGTAATTGCCGAGTGTGACCCAAAAAAGCCAAAAAAAAAAAAAGGGAGATGTGGCCGCCAGGCTTCCCCACAGCATGGACCCCTGGGCAGCGCGGGGCCTTCCCTCAGCATGAACCCTTCATATCACTCAGTTCTCTAGGCGGTCTCCGGAACACCCCAAGACTTGGTTCCAGAAGAGATGGCTTGTTCTGCAAGGAGGACGATGCCCTGGTGAGAGAGCATGTTCATTCTGGCTGGGCAGCTACTCCCTGTGTGAGGGGCATGTCCCCTGTGTCCACTGTGAAGTTCATTTCCTATCGTTCCATGATTCCAGTGGGCTGGAGCGATAGTACAGCAGGGAAAGCATTTGTCTGGCACGCAGCCGAACCCGGGTTCGACGTCCGGCATCCCATATGGTCTCCCAGCACTGCCAGGAGTGATTCCTGAGTGCAGAGCCAGAAGTAACCCCTGAGCAGTGTCGGGTGTGACCACTCCCCCCCCCAAAAAAAAAGCCAACTGTTCCTGGGTCAAGATAAAGGTCCCTGGAGGGCGCAATCTCCATATCTGATGAAGCTGGGAAGGGCTCGGGCTGGCGCCTGACTGGTGGCTGGAAAGCCTCATACAGGGCCGTATAAGCCCAGGTTCCGCGCTGCCTGGGAGATCCGGGGTGCTTTCCGCTGGGGGAAGGGGTAGTGAGCAGGTTTTCCAGACCTGGGTGCAGTCCTTAGGGAAGGCAGACACTGCAGGCCCAGGTGGAGGCCGCTTCCCTCAGCCTCGGCTGGGGGCCCGTCCACCTGGCAGGTGCTCTGGGCCGCCTCGTGGGTCTTTGTCCCCTGCTCTGTCACCCGAGGGTGTTCACGCCTCGGGGCTCCGTGCTGAGGCGGCCTGGGCTCAGACCCCGTGAGCGGGTCCTGGTGTTGTGCTTCATGGTTGGCTTCTTGGAGGAAGGCTTGTGCGAAACGATGCATCTCTAGGTGTGTGCGCCAGGGGGAACCAGGCATCTGGGGGCAGGCTCTGTCGGCCTCGGGGTGCCCCTCCTCGGGGGGCAGAGAGAGCCTTCTCTCCTTGTTGATCCAGACAGCGCTGACCATGGACTCACCCGGAGCAGGCGCACGGCTCCCTGCAAACACAAGGCACAGCTGGGTCACCACTGGAAGGGGGGTGTGAACTGCCCTTACTGAGGGTCCCTCAGCTTTAATGCAGCAGGAGAGCTGTGTCCCCACATGTCAAGGAGGCTGGGTCCCCAGGACACTGCATGGGTGTATACGTGGAACACACAGTCCCAGCTACAGAAGCATGGTCACAGACCCATATCTGCACAGCTGCCTGATTGCTAATACCTCTCTCTCTCTTTCCCTCTCCTCCCATCACACACACACACACACACACACACACACACACACACACACACACACACGTATTGAGCACTTATTACATGCCAGGCTGGAATGATGGTCACTAGGGACAGCAGCCTGAGTCCTAGGAGATGGGCATCTCCTGCCCAGAGGGTCACCTTTTTTTTTTTGCCTTTTTTGGGTCACACCTGGCGATGAACAGAGGTTACTCCTGGCTCTGCACTCAGGAATTACTCCTGACAGTGCGCAGGGGACCATATGGGATGCTGGGAATCAAACCCGGGTTGGCCGTGTGCAAGGCAAATGTCCTATCCGCCTGCTGTGCTGTATCACTCCAGGCCCCCTCCCGCACCGAGGGTCACTTTTGTCACCAAAAGGTTGAACACTCACTGTTCCAGGCTCTATGTATTATGTAAGTCCTGGGAAAGAGTGAATGTGAAAGCCACATCTTCAAGGAAGTACCCTGGTGGAGTAGAGAAACATCCCACAAATGGATCTATTTTTGAACCTCTGCAGGGAACCAATGCCATGGGTGAGAGTTGAGTCACAAACCCAACGAGGATCCACGGAAGCAGGATTTCAGCTGAGAATGGCAGGGCCCGAGGGGGCACACCTGCCTGCCCAGGCTGTGGCCCAGGGAAGAAGATGGGGGAGATGCTCTGGGTTCCTAAATGACAATCAAGGGTGTCCCCTGGGTGGAAGCAGGATTTTTCTGAGCCACTTCTTTGGAGGACCCATTCAGCCTGGCTGGGTCTTGCAGACACTGCTTTGGGGGCCCATTTGCAGCAACTGCTCTTCTCTGAGCTGACTTCAGACATCAGATGTGTGGGCCCGCATCTCTCTTCTCCCTCACAGACATCCTTTTATTCCTGGTTTGTGTTTGTTTCGTTTTTGTTTTGTTTTATTTCAGGGTTTTTGTTTGTTTTAGGACTGGCTCAGGACTGGCTCTTGGTGCTGAATTCAGGGATCACTCCTGGTAGGCTCAGGGGATCGTATGGGGTGCCAGGGATTGAACCTGCATTGGTTGCGTGCGAGGCAAAGGCCCTACCCGCTGTACCATCACTCCAGCCCCTCTATTGTTTGTTTTGCTTTGGAGCTAGACCCCGCAGTGATCATGGCTTACTCCTGGCTCTGTACTTAGGGATCATTCCTGGCGGGGTTCAGGGAACCAGATGGGGTGCTGGGGATCAAACCCAGGTCAGCCACATGCAAGGCAAGTACGTTCCCTACTGTACTATCTCACGGGTTCCTCAGGGACACAATTTTACCACTGTGTGGGCCATAACAGTTCCCAGCACGGAACCACATGCTTCCAAAGATGGTAATGTCGGTGTTACATGTGTCTGACTACAAGTAATTCTTCTTACACATGTTAAGAGAAAAGCAATAGATATCAATGCCGTGAAGCCAAGGGAGATTAGAATATCCTGATCTTCTCTACCCAGTAGAACAGAGACCCCAGGAGATGGAGTGCCCATTGGGATAGGCTCCTAGGTTGATATATGTGTCTTAAAACACTAGGCTGGAGGCTGGGTCACATACTTTGTGTGCAGGAGAGGAAGAGACCCCAGTGCACAGAGCCAGGAGTCACTAAAAGATGCTGGTGACATTTGGAAGGGTAGGATTTTTTTCCCCCTTGGGAAGGACTCATAAAAGAATGGGCCTGGAGGTAGCTTACTCCATGTCTGCAAAATGAGATCCAAGTTCTAAAAATTTCCAAGTAGCGTCCTCCCTGATCTCATGCAACAAGGGTCCTCAGCTGTTACCGATCTAGGACATTCTGGTGTTCCGGAAGCTGCAGCAGCCCAAAGGCATGCCTTCTAGTCCTGTTCAGGCTGACTGACAGCCTTTTCCTCCTAGAGGATGCTGGGAATGCTAACTCCAGGGTCTCCCTTCCGTCCTGTCCTTCCCCTGGTCTCGGAGAAGGACAGAGCTAAGAGAGGAAAGTGCTTGCACGGGGATTCAGGGGGAGGGGGCCATGCTGAGTTTGGGGTGGCTTTGGACAAGCTCCCCACATAGGTTTGTGCTGCAAGGTTTCTGGATTTAGTGTTTAGCATTGGGGCTTCCCTTGGTTGGGGGTTTAAGTGACGAACTGCAAGTGACTGGCCGGATGAACACTGGGGAGGAGACGGATGTAGTGGGAGGAGGGAAGGGGACTGGAATGATGGTCACCCGTGACAGCATTCGAGTTCTAGGAGATGGGCACCTCCTACCCAGAGGGGTCACTTTTGTCACTAAAAGGCCGCATACTTGCTGTTCCAGATAGGGCAGTCCCTGTAAGTCCCTGTAACCCAGCATGGGGTGAGGCTGCTGGACTGTGCAGGAACCAGCAAAGCTTCAGCACCCAGAGGTCCCTGGCTCTCTCGGGGGACCCCTCTTCCTTCCTCTCTCAGAGCAGGGCGTCTCAAACATTTCCCACCCAAAACCTCTTTTTTTGCTATAGTTTTAGGCAATCCTGGCTCTAGAGGCATATGAAATAGCTATGCAAACCTAATATTTACTGATACTCAAAATATCTATTTTATTTGGCGGAAGGGGTTGGGCCATACCCGGCGTTGCTCAGGGGTTAATCCTGGTTCCATGCTCGGGGATCACTCCTGGTGGTTCTCAGGGGACCATATGGGATGCCAGGGTTCAAACTGGGTCGGCTGCATGTGCCCTACCCACTGTTTCTTCCCTCCAGCCCTTCCATACATTTCTTTTAAAATAACGTTGTAAAATGTCACCCTATCCCAGGGGGCTGGAGCAATAGCACAGCGGGTAAGGCTTTTTGCCTTGCACACGGTCGACCCAGGTTCAATTCTCAGCATCCCATATGGTCCCCCAAGCACTGCCAGGAGTAATTCCTGAGTGCAGAGCCAGGAGTAACCTCTGACTGAGCATTACTGGGTATGACCCAAAAAGCAAAAACAAAAACAAAACAACTTACCCGACCCCATACAGAGTAACACATTTAGGAGTGGGCCCACAGAGAGTAGGGCTGGAAGGTATTGGCCTTGCAAGCACCTGATCTGGGTTTGGTCCCTTGCGCTGTATATGGTCCCCCAAGGACCTGCCAGGAGTGAACCCTGGGCACAGTCAGGTGCAAAATCCAAAACAACAACAACACAAGAGAGTAGGGAGGCGAGAAGAAGAAGGGATGGGAAGAGGCAGCAGCATGCAGGAGCAGTTCGGCTTCTGCAGGGTGGATTCTGCCACCAGTTTCCTTTGGGGACTGTGGGACCCAAAGGGGTGAGGACTGTGCCCAGGGCTGTGACGCAGGGCCTTGGCCCGTCTAGCCAGTGGCACAGGCAGTGAGGAACACCACGTCTCCCCACTGTGGAGTGGAGCGAGTTCCTCTGGTGTGCAGGTGAGACTCAGGCCATGGCCCCCCTCCAATGCCCGGCGGGGGGTTGCACTCACCAGGCTGACCAGTCCAGCAAGATCCGAACCTGTCAGCCAACAGCTGAACTCTGGTTCCGGGGGACCTCCCGCAGCACTCAGCTCCCCCTGTAAAGCCCCTGCCCTGCCCACCCAAGACCTGGTGCACCCACCCCAGTCCCACCTGCTCCCCCAGCCCCGCCCTACCTGTCGGGAGAACCACCATGTGCACCTGTGCCCGCTGCTGCCGCCGCTGCCCTTCGTACTGGGCTCTCAGGAGTGGGATACTGAGCCGGGGGCCGTTCCCCAGGGCTGGGGTCCCGGGGCCTTCTGCCATGAAGCGGGACCCCAGCAGCCAGAAGTTGGGCAGGGCAGGACAAGGGCAGGGCGAACCCTTCATCTGGTCGGATCCGGGAGCAAAGCAAACACAGAGGGGTGGGGCAGGAGGGGAGGTCAGGAAGGAACAAGGAAAGGCCAGGCTGCGGCCCAGGTGGGGGACCGACAGGTAAGGGGAAGGAGGAAAATGGGGGCTCCAGGAGAAAGATGGGCAAGAGCAGTGCTGGGGGAGGGGGCGTATAGGGGAAAGAGAGAAGAGTGGGGTGAGAGGAGAAGGGGAGGCCTGAGGCAGGAAATTGGGGGACCCAGCAGGGGAGCAGTGGGGAGGGAGCCAGGAGTGGTGGCAAAGGAGATTGATGGGTGATGGGGGACAGGCAGGAGGAGGAGGGGGGAGGCGTGGCGGGGTGGGGGAAGACCTGCTGGTCCCTCTGGCAGCTGGACTGGGTCTGCCCGTCCCGCTCTGCTTTTGTGTCCAGTTCCCAGAGCAGCAACCGCAGAATGCCCAACTTTCTCGGCCACCTGCCCAGCCTGGAATGCCAAATGCGCATCCAGTACACACCTCCTCCGGGGCTGGGACTGGAACCAGACAGAATACTGGCTGCAAACCTGCCTGGTTTGTTTGCTTGGTGGCTGCAGGTGGGAACGCAGTGTTCAGTCTCACAAAGCTGGTGTCAGGCGGGGGAGGAAGGAGAGACCCGCGGGCTAAGCACAGGCGTTGCACACAGGATCCCCGGCACCATGTGGTCCTTTGAGCACCCCCCTCCCCCCCAGGAGTGGCTTCTGAGTACAGAGGCGGGAAGAACCCTCCTCCCCAACAAACACCTCTGGGTTTGGCTGCCCCAAACCTAAACACTGCTGTAGCTCTGACCTGTGGTATCCTTGAACCAAGATCTCAATTCAGTGCCTCCCACTCACATCCCTGGAGAACAGCCGGGTCTGAAGTGAGTCTTGGGGACAGGATCCAGAGAAACCTTGGTCTCTGGCACACCGGTTTTGTTTTGGGACCGCATCTGGCAGTATTTTGAACTTACTCTTGGCTCTGTGCTTAAGGATAGATCACTCCTGGAGGTGCTGTAGGAACCATATGCGACTGGAGTTGAGCTTGGATTGGCTGTATTGTCAATACTTGACCTGCTGTATTGTCTCTCCAGCCATCTAGCTCACCTTTTGTGCCTTTGATGCCCAGCTGTCTGGCTTCATCAGTCTCCAGTCAGGCAGTGAGATGGGGGTTATTTTACCCATAGCTTGCAGGCCCTCAAGAGGTACTGCCAGCTCCAACATCCCTGCTCCTCTGGAAATCTTATACCCCCCACCCACACCCTCCACCCTACATCTACTGTGTTTCTTTTTGCTCCATCTGTCTACAGTCCAGTATTTCCATCTATCTTGGAACTCATAGATTACCCAGTTCGCTAAAGCACTTCCAGAGGTTTGGGATGCAGAGGAGAGGTTGGATTTAGGCTGTGTTTATTTATTTTATTTTTACTTTTTGGGTCATACCTGGCAATGCACAGGGGTTATTCCTGGCTCATGCACTCAGGAATTACTCCTGGTGGTGCTTGGGGGACCATATGGGATGCTGGGAATCGAACCCGGGTCGGCCGCGTGCAAGGCAAATGCCCTACCCGCTGTGCTATTGCTCTAGCCCCTAGGCTGTGTTTAGAAGGTTCATTGAGATGGAATTTTGTCCTGAAAAAAAAAGGGGACGAGAGGAGGAGCATGTGTCAATTTTACTCAGTAATATATCCACTTGCTAAGGTTGCCATAACAGTGAACCACAAATGGGTTGTCTTCAACAACAGACATATATTGTCTCATGGATCTAAAGGCTTTCAAGTCCAAGATCAAAGCATTAGCTAGGCTCGGCGTCTTCTGGGATCCATGAGAGAACCCCTCCATGCCTCTGACCTAGCTTCTGGCGGGTCACTGGCTGGCAATCTTGGGCAATCCTTGGCTTGTAAAAGCATCACCCGCTCTGAGCTGGTGCACACTTGTCATTCGTGTTCTTCACAGTTCATTATTAGGCTAGTTTTCATGACCATTACACAGCCAGGCAGATACAGACCGAGAGATGGTCCAAAGTAGCTCTTCCACTTCCCCTTTTGGTTACCCCATTAGCTTGTGGGAGCTTGAGAACCAAGTTTGATGGAAGAGAGAATTCTCTGTGTCCTTCTACATTCTCCACCCCGTCCCATCTCAGAATTTAAGTTCTAGTTGCTCACTTTGTTCTAGAACCTACCTGTTAATATAAGATGAATGGTCTGGGTGGTGGAGCTTCTCCAAGACTCCTTAAACTTCTGGGCTATTTTTTTTTTTATTTTATAAGTTAGTTCACAATATTTGATTACATTTAGTGTTCAAACACCAATCCAACCACCACTACACCTTCCCACCACCAAATTCGGGATGTTTCCATCCCAAACCCCAATCCCTGTCCCAAAACACAACGGAAATGATATATTTTGTATTGTCTATTATGAAGAACTGCTGAACATGCTTACACAAAAGTGTCTATATAGGAATCAGTGTGAAGATTGTTCTGTTTTGGCAGGACCCATTAAGACATTCTATAGAATATCACCAACATGTTCTTAAAGTTTGGGTGATGTGAGCTTTGGTATATATGTCTGAAAATATGTATATATGCATGTATATATATATTTTTCCCTCTATGATTTGTTGCCTACTGTCCGAACCCCATCAAATATGGCGTGGTAATTATGGATAGGAAGTGTCTTATGATGTCATGTGGTTCAGAAATATGTTCACTTATATGTAAGGCTCGGCCCAAGTGGGTGGGGAGTGACATGGCGGTGGTTGGGTTGTGGAGATCCGGTGCCGGAGCTGGGTCCCTTGGGGCAGGGAGAGCTCTCACCCACCCCCTTCTGAGGTTCCCCGGGTGAAACAGCCTGGCATGGAGTCCGGTGGCATAGTTATGGGGGCCTCATTTTATGCTCCCTTCTGGGAGAAGCAGTTGTATGATTTGGAGGGTGGCCGATGATGGGATTATCTGGAGCCTGCAGGAGGTGGCTTATAGGAGTGACCCCTGGATCACCAGAGACTGGGGGAAATGGGCTATTTTGTGACTTTTTGATCTCCTTTTGTCTCTTTTTTTGTCTGTTTCTTCCACCATTCAACTCACCCTGGCTTAGGTTGGGTAGTGTACGCACTCTCCTGGGAGAGGGTGGTCAAGCAGAAAATGCCCACACGGACCTCAGAATGGAAGAATGGAAGTCTCCAGCTAATGTGTGGTATCTGAAGTCTTTTTTGTCCCTCCTGATTTTTTAAAATTTTATTTTATTTTTATAAAGTAGATCACAATAATTAGTGATACTTAATATTTGAACACCAGTTCCACCACCATTACACATTCCCACCACCATATTTCAGATGTTTCCACCCTGAACCCTAATTCCTGCCCCAAAGCAGAACTGAAATAATTTATTTTGTATTGTTTGTTATGACTAAACTGCTGAAAATGATCTAAAAAGTTTCCTTAGATGAAAGTGTGTCAAGATTGTTGTATCTCACTGAGGGGCTATTAAGCCTTTCTATAAAAGATTACAATCATGTTGTTAAAAGTCGAGCCATATGTACCATTCAGATATATGGTCTCTGAAGTCTTAGGATTGAATACAGAATTCACTTTCGGAGACAGCTTCAAAGATATCAAGCCTGGGATGACCAGTATATAAGGGGCAGGTCGAAGGGGGGAGACAAAGTTGAAATCATAATGATAAGGAAAACGTAAAGAGGAACAACCCCTTGTATAAGGAGGGAAAGGAGAGAAGCATGAAAGATAAAGGTGGTCAAAATGGGGTAGCAGAACCTCCTGAGATTAGATTTACATATGATCTATCTTTCTGTTTTGTTTTGTTTTGTTCTGTTTTGGGGGTTGCACCCTGTGGTTTTCAGAACTTTACCCTGGCTCTGCACTTAGGGATCACTCCTGGTGGGGTTTGAGGTATACCATATGTGGTGCCAGGAGTCAAATCCAGGTTGGTGCATGCATGGTAAGTACCCTACTATCATTCTGGGCCCCCATATTGATAGAAGCAGTTAGACAGGGAAGGGCCCCTATGGCAGTGGAAATCCTAGGATATCATAAAACCCTAAGACCATCAGGACCCAGCTTGTGAGCACAGGAACTAAGGCCTGATTAGAGCCTCACCTGCAGCCGTAATGGACCCAGAGAAGGCTGAACCCCCTTCCAAGAGAAGCTTCAGCAGGAACAAAAGGCCAGGAAAGGAATTTCAAAGAAAGCCATCAATCACTCCTGCTCAACCCTCTTGGCAACCACCTTAGCAACAGACTCTTGTGGAGCTAGAAAGACCCACCATGGGGGAGCATTGGAGGAACCCTGTAAGAGTACCTTGAACAAAGGAAGGGCGTGCGTATGCTGCCCAAGCCCAGGTGCTGCTCGTGCCCACGTGGCTGAGCACCTATGGCACCCGCGTACATGAGGTGCTCACATCTTCCCTCGTGAGATGTATGTTGAGCTTCCTCCCCTCTGGAGAAGCCCATGTTTTCTCTTGAGTACATTTCTCTCCCACTTTCTCTTCCTCCTTCCCCTTCCTAAATCCTCCAAATAAATCAATCACTTAATCACTTAACTTCCCGTTAGTCGGCGATTTGCTCGAGCGGGCACCAGTAACGTCTCCATTTGTCCCTGCCGCGTGCTAGTGTAGCCCCCCTCCAAATAAAATCTGTTTTTGCTTCATTGCTTCTCTACTCCTGAAATTCTTTTCTGCCAGATAGGACCGGGTACCTGGAAACCCTGGATAAGGCCTAGGACTGACTATTGTGAAGTCAAGAAAGAGCCCCATCTGTTCCACGACAGGCTGCACTTCAGCAAAACAAGCAGTAGGCTTAAGTTTCCCCCACAAAAAACTCCCTGAGACTGCCCTTGACCCAAGCTGGAAATCCCCTAGACGCCTCTAGCCAGTCCTGTGATAAGTAGGATATCTCTGGGCACAGCAGGTGGGCATGACCAATTAGCTCCAGACTAGTGACCGCTTCATCACAATTCTTGGGAAAACTGCCAACATTGCTTATGTAACAATA